CACAACGGGGACGTAGCGTGTTGGCAAGCACGTGAACCTCGGGAGAAAATCGGTTGTCTCTTGCCATTTGGCATTCTCTCGGTGATTGATTTTATCTTCATCTTGTGATTGGTTCATCCCTCTACACGGCGGTATAATCACCCTACTCACTCTTTTATATTCTTGCAAACTAGTTGTGGCATGCTCTTTAGTGTAATTAGAATTGAGAGCTTGATTTGTTATTTAAGTTCATCTAGTGGAGCTCTTTAGTGTAGTAAGATTGAGAGCTCTTAGTGAGTAGTTTCATAGCAAGTTGTGTGTCTAGTAATCATTGCAACTAGAATTGTTGGATAGGTGGCTTGCAACCCTCGTAGAGCTAGAGCAAGTTTGCATTTCGCTATTTGTCTTACTAATCAAATTGCTCTAGTTGATTTGTAGAATTTTAAATAGGCTATTCACCCCCCCTCTAGCCATATTAGGACCTTTCACCTGTCCAAGTCAATGCAACGAACAGAGCACGCGACGTTGGAGGTGAACAGAGCCCTAAAGATTGTTGCGGCCTTGCAGCAGGACACCAACCCCTCCCCTGCGGCGAGGAGGGGTAGGCTCACGAACGCCGGGAGGCGGGGTCCGTGGTCGTGGCCGGGCGTAGCAGGCCCGGGATGCGACATGGGCATGGATGCCAGGATCAGAGCAGGACAGGGACATGGAGGACAGGATCGACGGTGAGGTCGCGTCGTGCTAGGAGCAGGGGCCGTGTCGTGGCCAGTGTCGCCGGAGGGAGCGCCTATGCGCGCGGCGGACGCGGTGAGCCGAGACGGACGAGGCGACGCGAGCAGGCTAGGGCCACGGGCGGCCGACATGGCAGGGTATGACGCCAATGATCTTGGCGTTAAGATTGGGCGCCAATGATCTTGGCGTCAAGCTCAGCGCCAAGATCTATGGCGCCAAGCTGGGCGCCAAGTCACCGCCACGTCTGTGTCGATGCCTATGTCAGCCCAAGACCTAGGCGCCAAACCCTTTGACGCCGAGACGTGTAAGCTCAGCGCCACCAATGATTGGCGCCGAGATATGGGTCTAGATTTTGAAAGAATACCTCCAGGGGCATATTTGTGAAAACTTTCAAAAAAAAAGGGACAAAAAATAAAAAATTTGGTCGCCACGCCGCACGTGACGATTCATTTGCAAAGTCCACGTGCGAACGTGCCTTCAGCTCTTTTTACGGTGACACTGAGAAGAAGACGTCGTCCGTCGACGCTGGTTTCTGGGTCTGCGCGCAAAAAGTCCAACAAGCCCCGTGCATCTCACCATCTCTCTTAAAAATATCTTTCACTCTCGTGCTCGTTCATCACATGTTGTTGCAACGCGCACTCGCTGCTGCCATCTTCACCACAGCTCACCCCATCTCGCGCCACACCCCTTCGCCGCCGTGCTCGCTCTAGCTTGCTACGCGTCGCGTCCCCACTGCTGCACGCCATGTCGTGTCCCTACGCGCACCGAAGTGCTACCACGCCGCCGTTCCCACTAGAAGGTCGTGGCCACTGTCGACACGCAACCTCAACAAGGAGATGTTGCGATGAAAGCGGATGTTCCAAGCGTATGTTTCAAGTATTTCAAATATTTGAGAGGTATGTTGTAATTGTTTCATATCGATGTTACAACAGTAGAAACAAGCACCCTAGAGCATCGGCTTACAAAATTCAAGATGGCCATGTTGAATGAAGCTGGATTCAGACAGAGCTCGTGTGATCATTCTTTGTTTGTTTGTTATACGGCTTATGGTATGGTTATTTTTTGGTCTAAGTTTATTTTTTGTTTGAAAGTGTGCGGTGAAGGAAAGTGTGTCGGGGTAAAACTGGAATTGCAAGGTCATTCGTTCCAGATAGACCTAAGGGTGATAGATTTGGGAACATATGATGTAGTTCTTGGGATGGACTGGATGAAGACCATAAGCCCCTTTTATTGGGATAAGTCTTTGACCTTGTCGTTAAAAAGAGGACCAGACCAACTCATTCTTAAAGGAAGTTGTGGATTGAACATCCCGAAAAAGATCGGGGATGTTGCATATGTTGCAAGTGTTTCAGAAGTTTGTTCGAAATGTTTCATCTGTTCCAGACGTATGTTGCAAACGTTCTGATCTGGATGTTGCATATGTTTGACACATATGTTGCAACAATATGTTCCAGATGGTTCAGATGTTTCATTCTTATGTTGTAGTAAGTGTTTTCGTGTCACAAGTTGCAAATGTTTTTATCTAGATGTTGCATATGTTTCACACATATGTTGCAAGTGTATATTCTAGATGTTTTATCTCTTTCACACGTAGGTTGCATTCCAGTGTTTCATATTGCATGTGCTTCATATTGTTTGGAGAGTCAGGGCTGTGGGGAGTGATGGTGGCACGGCATGGCCGCCGTGGAATGGGGCATGGCGAGCTGGGGGCCGGCGGACGAGACGTGAGGCACGCGGCGCGCCGGTGTCCTGCAGACGTGGCGCGTTGGGGGCCGGCGGTCGAGACACGATGGGTGGCGGGATGCACGTGAAGGGCCGGGCGAACGGCCTCGAATCGAGGCGGACAGGGCGGGCTGTGTGTGTGAGGTGAGTCGTCCGAACACACCGGCACTACGACGGGGCAGGAAAAAAATCAGCGGACTGGGGCAGGCTGTGAGGACGTCCGGTCACGCGCGCGTCCAGGCATTGGCACGGCCACTTCTTTTGTGTGTTTTTTAGAATCGCTTCTTTTGGGCCTATTGGGCCTGGCCCAGACATTTTACGTAGGTGAACTGAGGCCCATGATAAAAATTTCTAAAAGAAAGAAGGCCCATGACAAAATGAAGCTTTACCTCTTTTTTTTTCCTTGTGTGTTCATGCGTCGCCGAGACGCCGACGGTGGTGGCTGGTGGCTGGTGTATTGAGTCCTTGGTTACTAGAAAAAAAAAACATATTGAAAAGGCAAGTGAGAAAGGTTTGTCTAATGTTCAGATAAAGAAATAGGAAAGGTTTGCATATCATCTGGCCTTGTTTAGATCACCTCCAAATTTCAAGTTTTTTCACTCTCTCTCCATCACATCAATTTTTGAACACATGCATGGAGCATTAAATGTAGGTAAAAAAAATAACTAATTACACAGTTTGGTTGTAAATCACGAGACGGATCTTTTGAGCCTAGTTAGTCCATGATCGGATAAAATTTGTCAAATACAAACGAAACGTGCTACAGTGTCCAGGTTACAAAAATTTATAATCTAAACAAGACCCTGATTGCTTTATACTTTTATCTTGTCAATTACTCCTCTCTCTTTTCAATGATGCCATTGCACGGCTGTAGCACTTCCTGCCCTGATCAGTAATCGTGCATAGATTATACTATGCATTTGTGCCATTGTGCTACATGTATGAGTTCATCTTTTATGCAACCTTGTTAAAGCGTTGGCCGTTGGGCAAATAATATAATACTGCACAGTATTTTTTTTATGATTGCCTCTCATCTAGGTACAGCTGTAGCATCTGTTCGTATACACACACGCCCACACAACACACGCACACAACTCACACGACCTATGTACAAACAAACATATAACTATACCCAGATCTGAAGACCGCATCCTTCTTGAGATCACCGAAATCCCTTGATTTCGTAGGCGACAGACACGTCATGATCCGATTGTGGCATCACACGTGAGAGATTGCAAATATTGAGGAAAAACCCGGTGAAAAACGTGAGTCGAGCAGAGGTCGAACCCACGACCTCCACCACCCGGAGCAATTGCCGCTCGAGCTACGGATCCCACTGCACAGTATATTCGTTGAAGCATGGCCTGCATGGCGCTGCAAAATGAGCTCTGAAACCATTCAAATATGGGAAAACTTATGCCTTGTTTATTTTATTCCTCTAAAGTTTACTTTCTATCATATCGGATATTTAGATACATGCATGAGTATTAAATATAGATTAAAAATATTTAATTACACAGATTAAGACTAATTTGCGAGAGAAATTTTTAAACCTAATTAGCCCATGATTTGACAATGTGGTGCTACAGTAAATATGTGCTAATGATGGATTAATTAGGCTTGATAAATTTGTCTCGCGGATTACTGAGAATTCTGTAATTTGTTTTATTATTACTATCCGAACACTCCTATGTGACACCCCGATGTGACATCCCTAAACTTTTCTCCCTGAATTTAAACACCACGGATCATAAAAGTCAGCTTGTTTTTTCATTCAGAACCATATTTTTCTCTCACAATAAATCAACCGAAAGAGTCTTTTTAGCTTATTTTTTCAACGAAGCCAACGAGGCCTTAATGCGTAAGGAAGGACGTTCGTGTGTCCTCTCGCAAGAACGCCGGCCGGCGAAGTTAGTTTATGCATATGCGTTTATTACCCAATCGTGTCATGAGCCGTTTTAAAATATTGGGTCTGTTCGCTTATCTGAATTCTGGAGGAATCTGAATGGTTTGGAGAAATGCTGGAGGAATTTGTGAGAGAAAAACACTGTTCAGATAAAAATATAAACGGATCAAATCGGGTTTAAAGGCACGCGAACGGAACCATTGTTAGCTTTCAGATGATTCCCAATAACAAATAAATAAATAAATAAATAAAGTTACAAAGCTGAAATGCTTTATGATCTGTACCACGCAGTTTCGCTCTGAATTCTTCCGGTGCGACGTTGTTGCAATGCTCTCGTCTCCTCGATCATCTGATCCAGTCCACCTGTATATATAAAATCCATCTTCCTTCGCCAATGCAACAGAATCGTATCGCCGCTCCGGGATCAGATCAGACAACATGCACCGTCGCCGTCCCGAGACCTCCGCCGACCGCCTCCGAGAACGCTGAGAGCCTGAGGAACGCGCTCCAAGGCAATCCTAGTTACTACTAGCTTATTCTCCTGTGATCTTCCGATCCGCTGCTATCGAGCCATGAACACTGATCAATCCTATCAGCTTAGTCTTCCGTTACCTGAATTTATTGACAGTTTCAGTACTGACGACGCGGCAAATATCTCTTGATGCGCACTGCAGGATGGCGGGCGGACAAGGTCGCTCTGATCGGGGTGCTGTGCCGGCGCACGGCGGCGCAGCGGGCGGCGATCCGGCGCGCCTACGCCTTCCTCTACCGGGAGCCTCTCCTCGACTGCTTCCGCTACAAGCTCTCCCGCCACTGCCTCCTCTCCGTTGATTTCTGGGTAGGTAGTGTAGTACCTCCTGCTAGGACCCGTACCTCCTGCGATAGATGCCAAGAACAAGAATCTCGCCTGCGGCCTGTCTCATCGTACTCCAGTTCATCATCAGACGACGGCATGCAGATCGAGTTCTCTGAACTTCCGATGCGTTTCTCTTTTTCTTCCATTTTCCTTTGTCGTTCATTCAGAAAGCGATGATCCTGTGGACGATGGATCCGGCTGAACGGGACGCGAACCTGGTGCACGAGGCGGTGAAGAGAAGAAGAAGGACGAGAGCTACGTCTCGGTGCTGATCGAGGTGTCGTGCGCTTCCACCCCGGACCACCTCATGGCCGTCAGGAAGATCTACCGCGAGCTGTTCAGCTGCTCCGTCGACGAAGACGTCGCGTCTTCTCCTGCGCTCCAAGAGCCTCTCAAGAAGGTACGTAAGATCGTGCGTGGAAATGTGGAATCTTCAGTCCAAGCTCCCTCGTCTATTTCGCTGCACGACGGACATGTTCAGAATGTTCAGACTTCAGAAGGGTCTCTGCTCCTGTGCTTCACCTACACTACAGATGTTGCTCGGTCTTGTGAGCTCCTACCGCTACGCTGGCGAGCACGTCGACATGGACGTCGCGAAGCTGGAGGTGGCTCAGCTGTCAGAGGCCATCAGAGAGAAGCGCCTGCACGGGGACGAGGTTGCCCGGATCATCAGCAGCGCTCGCAGCAAGCCTCAGCTGAGAGCGACGTTCCAGCAGTACAAGGACGACCAAGGAACAGACATCGTCGAGTTGTCACGTTGAAATTTTGAAATCTTTAGCATTCTTGTGCATATCGCCCTATTTGTTTGGGCTTATTTGGTTGATAAGCTATGGTTGAAAGTACTGTTGGCTGATTTGGTATGAGAGAAAAAATATTGTTCATTGGCTGAAAAAGTACGGCTTATAAGCCAAACAAGCCCAAATGAACATACGCCTTCAGCTGTTCGTCCATTCAGGATATCCGGGGCAGCCATTGCGGCGGCGGCGGCAGGCAGGCAGGCAGGCAGCTCGCCGGGATGCTAAGGAGCGCCATCCTGTGCTTAACGTCGCCGGAAAAGCACTTTGCAGAGGTAGGTAGGTCGGAGAAGCAGAGTGCGGCTCGCCGGCTCGGCAAACAGACCAGCACGACCGTCTCTCGCTGCCGTCGAGATGGCTGGCATGGCTGGCGCTAACGTTCAGTGCGTGACTGCGTGTTTGTGTTGCTGATGGGCAGGTCATCAGGTACTCGGTCCTGGGACTGGGGACGTACGAGGACATGCTCACGAGGGTGATCGTGTCGCGGGCGGAGGTTGACATGGAGCAGATCAAGGAGGAGTACAGGGCGAGGTACGGGAGCGCTGTGAGCCTCGACGTCGCCGGCGACACCTCCTTCGGCTACAGGGACATGTTGCTGGCCTTGCTAGGGGAGCAGGAGTAACCACCACCCAAGTATGCAGCCTCTTCGTGTTTCAGAGATTCAGAGCTTCGGCGCAATACTGTAGTGCAAGTGTGCTATGTTCCTGAAAAAAGTGTTTTTTTACGGAGATAAACATTGCTTTTATACATAAAAACAATAACATCTTACAAAAGTGTAATATTTGGTTCCACTAAGTCATTTGTTTTCTTAAATTTAATTAAATTAGTAGAAAACAGTATCAATGCGTGTCTCTTGATAGGTTTGATATAAAAAATTCTCAAATTAATGAATGACACTTATTCGGGACACTAGTGCTTTTTTATTATTTGGTGAGCTTAAGATTTTATTGATTTAGTAAAAAAAAGGACTGCAACAACACTGTTGAGATGGAGATAGTAGGTCTCATCGCACCTCATTGGTTTAAAAGAGTTGTATCGCTCGTTACCGTACTCCCTCCGTCCTATGATACTTGTTTTCCTAGCCTTTTACACGTGTCCTCAATTAGTTGTCGTTTTCACTTTTTCAATACACATTTCTCTTTTTACAATACAATCTCTACCTATATGGGTAAGTTTAGATCTCTCACCTAGTCACCTTTGTTGCCTCGTCTGGCCGAGCGACTCGCTCGGCAAAGCCAGCCTCGCTAACAGAGGCGAGCCAAATTGGCTCTCTTGACCAAGCAATGGTAAATTGAGTAAATAAAGGAACTAAACATTGTAAACTTTGCTTAGCAAGACAAGGTGAGCACCATCAAAGAATCCAAAGACACCTATCTTTCTCCTTCTTGTTTCCTATGCAAAACCCAATTTTCATTTCTTCCTAATTCCCGTGCCCTGTACTAAAATCTTATCTATTATGAGATAGAGGGAGTTTTGCGGTAATTGGGCTAAAAATTAAGCAAACAACATAAAAGTTGAGTCCGTCTAGTCAACAAATGAGCGTTTTAGAAGCTCCTAGCACTTGATTTTTTTCCATACATTTATATTGTCTTTTAGTTATATTCACACTGTCTTATTACTATATTTACACTGATTTCTTTAATGTAATTTATTGAACAAACTGTTGTAATTTGGGGATAACACAACTCATTATAGATCTATGCAAAATTTTTTCAAAAAAATTATAAATTATTTCTATAGATTGCGGATATTAGAGAAATATTTGCCAAATTATAAACAAATGTCATCAAAATCTTCTCACATTTATCACAAATTCTAGAAAAAATAACAAATTGGGTTTTGCATAAGCCGGCCTGGTGAGGCGGCAGAGGGAGCAGTGGGCGGCCTAGTGGCGTCGGCGGGGGCAGTGGTGGCGGGCGGGAAGCAACGGCCGGGTGGGGTTCCTTCGAGGCGGAGGCGGCGGTGGGCACGCGCTTATGCGGGTGCGAGCGATGCCGCTGGGACTGGGCGTGCAAGATGCAACAATTGAACGGCCAAAAATTTGAGTGTCCCAGGCCTCTAAAACAATCGGTTATAAAATAGCATTACTCTAAAAAGTTTGAGTGCCTTGACCCCGCTAACAGTTGTACGAAAATGGATTTACGTGTCTATTATGAAACCGATGTTTCTCCTACAACTAAAAAGAACAAAGTGTGGATATTTTTTAGTGCGACATTTGTTTTGGTTCATCCGTATCTACCCACGCTGCGATCCCACGACATCTCCCGTATGTTGCGTCCTTTGGTGCGATCACACATTGATTACAGGTTAATCTTAATTACTGATTGATCGTGTCATTCTCCTTGATTGAATATTGTCTGTTACGTGATAGAGGAATCATGATAAAATAGAAAGTAAAAAATTATTGTGCTATCCATATACATATTGCATGTTTGCATGAACCAGTATACATGGCAACGAGCAAAACGAAAGAGAATTAATACAGAAGTAAAGAGAATTAAAATAAAAGGAATATCTTTGTATTTATGAGAATCTTTCCAAATCTATCTACACTAGATAGCGTGCCCGTGCATTGCTACGGGATAACTAACAATTTATACTAAAAACACACGGATCGCACGATAAGATAACAATACTGTAAAAATTAAATACCAACGTTAAAGTGATATTTAATTAAAAAAGCAAAGTTTATGAATTTAACATAGTCACGGCGTCGTCGCAGGCTCACAAACTCTACTTTATAGACATTTTCGTGATGCGGCTAAGATAATATTTTATATTGGTAGGAAGAAATCTCCGATATCCATTTTTTCATCGTAATCCATTTATATGGACAATGTTTGAGGTGAGAACACGGTTACAGTTTTTAGGTGCTTTACGATATTGTCCAAAGATATGAGATGATTGATGTCTTGCAATGATCCTTTCATTAATTTAGTTTTCTATCTATGTTTAATTGTTTATTCAGTCTATTTTATAGGCACGCCGATAGATAATTGATGATAAAATTTAAGCAACAATAATTTATCTTTTTGACTTTAAGCATGGGTTTTGTTTTTATTTTTTAATTGATATATTGTTCTTTTGTTTTTATCGTAGCATTAGCATGGCATGTATGAAAAATGAAGATGTCTTTACACTCTAGAAATCTTTCAAGAAGATCATGCATATATTATTCTTGTATTGAATATTTTATATATATATATATAATCACCTAAATATTCTAATTAAACTATAAAATTTTGAATTAGGATACGAGGTAAGACATGCAAACAGATATTTCAAAACTTTCTGTAGAGTCCAAAAAACTTAATAAATATATCCTTCTAAGTCAATGCAAATTCTCTCTAATCTTTTATTTGGTGTAGTTAGTGTTATCATAGTAGACGCATGCATTCATGGGAAATAAATAGTGGACAAAACATGGACACTTTTTGGTGCGACATTTCAACATGGTTCCATCATCCTGCTAATATCCTTGAGGCAGATCACATAAAAGACGAGAGTCCCTCTATGAGATTGCTCACAAGAGACTCAAACTTATATCTGATCATGGTAATGTTGAATTGTTTTGCATCAAAAGCATCGGCAATGATAAACGGGACATAGGTTTTAGTATGCATAGTGGAGGAAAACTCAACCTTGGCCTTTTCAGCAGCTTTTCTGAGCCTTTGCAGTGCTAACTTATTCTTACTCAGATAGTCAAGAGGTGCACCATAAAATTATGCACCACTAAGAAAAATATCACAATTGATTGCCTTGACCTAAAAAAATATATCGAAATTAAGAATTACAACATCTAATTTAGCATCTTAGAACAGACACTTAAGTGGATACCTTTATTCTACAATATATGTCTGTGTAGAATAGTCCTAAAGCCACATATTTATACAATGAGTATAATATACTTTGTTTTAAAAATTTATGAGAGATTTTTTAAGACACAGTATTATCCATGTGATAGGCACTAATATTTACATATATACTCGAACCTGTGTGCACATGATTATATGGAGATGCAGTGGAACTTATTCATGGATTTATTGGCGCATGAAAAAAATGGATATCGGAGAATTCTTTCTGCCGATATAAAATATTATCTTAGCCATATCACGAAAAATTCTATACAGTAGAGTTTGTGAGTCTACGACGCCGCACTCTCCGTGACTGTGTTAATTTTATGAACTTTGCTTTTTGAATTAAATGTCACTTTAACGTTGATATTTAATTTAACAGTATTGTTATCTTATCGTGCGATCCGTGTGTTTTTAGTACAAAAGATTTAGTTGTCCCGTAGCAACGCACGAGCACGCTACCTAGTCATAATAGACATGTGGAATGGATGTGGATGCTCAAAAGAGACATGCTTCTCCCTCATATCGCCCTAGCACACACACGACTAGTTGACCTTTGTACCTCCCTTCTTGGTGGCATAAGAGCAATTGTAGTCTATTATGAAACCGATGTTTTAAAAAAAGAGAAGATTCGAGCATCGTTTTTTTTTGCAATGCCACTAGTGAAGTTGGTTCCAAAAATCAAGCATCAAGGTATGTTCATGCATCGATGCCTAATGAGCTCAGTTAATATTTAATCCTTAAGAAAGAAAGCCAAGGGAGAGGCCAGGGGAAAGGTTGTCACCGAAAGAAACTGATAATTGATCCAATGAATTGGTCCATGTTATTATGACATCGATGTTCAACGCTCTAGCAGATAACAATTTTAAACATCGCATACTGGGTTTCATAAAAAACCGTAGCTCTAAATCGAGGGTTCAAACTTCGACTATATTATTGGTGTTGTAAAGAGAATTCATGCTCGACACTATAATTTGAATATGCAGGAACCTCGACGACACGCCTTCGCTCCTACATATCGCCTCGACGCACTTTAGCCCTCGACACTCCTCCTCCACATATGCAGTGTATCTAGTGCCGCTTTCTCTCCTTCCCCTCGCCCACCATCCGATGCGCTCTTCCCTTGACCTGGCTCCCTATTGTTTTCTATTGTTCGACATCCCTACAAGATTTCCAACATCCAATTCAATGGACATTCAAATAAACATAATTTGTATTGTGCCTTACTTCAACAACAGTGCTGATTTGGTATTGGACCCAGTTCAATTCTAGCACCTCCAATATATACCAAATGGACCCTTAGCAATATCATGGTAATATAAATATGTAAGGATGCCGTGAGGGTTCGAAACTAGATGGTGTCATAAAAATCAGGACACCTATTCTACCTTCAATCGGACTTATCACTAAATAAAGAGGAAATTAATGACTATGGAAAAGCTAACTAATAAAATAATAGTATCTTAGAACACGTATAACATAGAGCCGATTATATTGGCACTTAAACACAGAGGAAACATAAAAACATTATGCTCTAGCTTACAACGGGATAGGCACTTCTTTGTCTGAGAACAAGTCAACAATGGTAGTTAATTAGCTTCTCAGGGCAGTGCTTGCCTTCGCATGAGCGCGTCGAATTGCCACCTAGCGTCGACGCTAGGTTAGGCAGCGACTCTACCTATAAGCGCCCATATCGTATCCACCATGACAAGGAAAACCTGTAGAGGATAGAAGTGTATGGCCAACCAAAAGCATTGTATGTACCCTT